GGAAAGGCATGATACATTTCGGAAAACGTGGAAAGCTGAACCCAAGGTACATTGGACCATTCGAGATCCTTGCTAGGATCGGTCCCGTAGCATACAAACTCCAGTTACCACGAGAGCTTAACAACATCCATCATGTCTTCCACATGTCGAACCTAAAGAAGTGTCTGTCCGATGAGACACTTGTAATTCCTCTCGACGAGATCGAATTAGACGAGGGTTTACACTTCGTGGAAGAACCTGTCGAAATCATGGATCGGGAAGTCAAGCGTACGAAACAGAGTCGCATCCCGATAGTGAAGGTCCGCTGGAATGCCAAGCGGGGTCCTGAATTCACTTGGGAGCGCGAGGATTCAATGAAGCAGAAGTACCCCCATCTCTTTCCAAGTTCATAATTGTACTTTATCCTTGAATTTCGGGAGGAAATTCCCTCTAACGGGGGGATGATGTGACAACCCGGAACTTCAATCTTGTACAATTAGTCAATTCAATCAATATTCAACTTGTTTTGTTGATTTCTGATGCTATTTAAGGGTTTATTTAAGTGTTCTAAGCTTGTATATAACCAAGGTTGAGTTTAGGAATGAGTCAGAGTGTTGAATAGTGAGAAAATCGGGCCATACACACGTCTTGGAGGAGTGTACGGCCGTACACATAGGTGTGCGGCCGCACACCCACTCCCTTGGCAACACACACTCTTTTGGGCAGCACCCTTACCCATATATAAAGGGTAGCCCCCTTCCTTTCATTCCTTTAACACCTTGGCAGCACACAACACCATTTCTCTCAACTTCTTCAACACAAACCTCCCAACCCTCCAAGGCTTCAAAAACGTGAGTAATCCATCCCTTAACTTGTTTTGCATGAAGAACCTCTTAATCTAGGCCTTGAATCATGAAAGTCCCGTCATGTTCTTCATCTCTTTGAAGGAGTGCGACCACACACTGATGTGTGCAGCAGCACACTCCTGTGTGCGGCAGCACACACATTTGTGCGACCATACACACACACCATAGGACCACAAACCCATTTCTAAGACCCTAAACTTGTACTACAACCAAGTATGGGCCTAGGACACTTCATGGATGCAAGTATGGACCTTGAAAACACCTCAAAGACACCTTCCATCATGAGTGTACGACCGCACACCCATGGTCGTACACACCTTTAAGGTGGCCATACACCTCCCTCATACAATCCTTTGAGGTCCTAACACTTAGTGCAAGTATTCCCAAGTTCTTAGAGTGGTTCTTCATCACATCTAGTGGTGAAATACCATCATTTGACTCCTTTATGTGTCATTACTTTTTGATTAGGATCAAATCGTGTTCAAGGCTTCACTTGAACATCCCGCATTCCGTATCGATCCTTCATTCAAATCACTCGAGGTAAGTTCATACCCCTACATTTTCCGTATTTTTAATGTTTTCAGGGGGGGGGGGGAATACAAGCTAAACATAAATGTTTTCAAAACTCATGAAATTCTCATACTTTAACCCTTTTGTACTGTGTTGAGCATAAGGGACGTTTTCACTAAACTTGCATGGTTTTCCGGACTCGCTATTCACTACGTTTTACATGCAAACTATAATCGGTGTAGTTTGGGATTTTCTAAGCACAACAAGTATAGAAACTTTCACTACTAAACGTATGCACTAAGACAGAAGTAGTTTACAGTTTACATCACTACTTTATCGCGTTTTCATAACTGTAATTATCACTACAAACGGTATACATTCGGATTTTCACTACGGTAGAACGCTACTACACTACATGTAAACTAGATTGTACGATACTGTGAGGCGCTACTACTACTGTACCCTTAGGGTGTACAGGGATACATCCTATCATAGTATGACCAGAGTCTCCTGGAGGGAGAGCGTGAGATTTGTGAATAGATCTATTCGGGACCGACAATCCCACACCCGAACTGCTAGCTACAGTTGGGCAGGCATGCCTAGGGTGACAAATGTCATTTAACTCGACGCCTGAAGAACGTTGGAAAGGTCTCTAGTCATATCAAGTATGGTTATACGACTCACATTATGTATAATTCACCCTTTAGTTTACAACCTGTCACCCTTCAACAGTTTTATTTATATTAAATAGAACTAACACACTACGTATAAACGTTGGAGCCAGGGTTTTCAACCAAAATCGTTTATGCAAGGATTTCATATACAATATACTTATACTTCATGATTAGCCTTAGCTAGTCACATGAAGTAGTATTTTCACATATCTCTACAGTTTTCAGTAACGAACATTCATGGTTTATATGGAACGGATAACGCTACATTTTTCACTTAAAGAAAATATCGGATTTTCTTGACGCTATACAAAATACTTTTTACGAGTTCATCAACAAGTTTTCATTACAAACTACCGCTTATGAACTCACCAGCTTTATGCTGATATTTTCAAACTGCTTGTATTCTTAGGAAATCAGTAGACAGGTACCTGCTGGATTTTTGAGAAGCTGGAGCAATAAGAGTCTTATGTTTATATTTTATATATACTCTCTGATGTAATTCAAACAAGTTTCAAATTGATGTAAACATCTTCATATATGTATACACTGTGATGGTTGTGTTGCTATGGTTGCTATTTTACATTGGTTGTGATGCTATACATGACGTCCTCCGCCCCGGAACGATTCCGCCATCACGGTTTCGGGGTGTGACAGATTGTTTTATGATTAAATATAATAATTATATTATTGTGGGTTGAAAACCATATATGCTCACCATGCTCCCAAGCCTAACCCACTCAGTTTTCTTTGTATCACAGGTATCGATACGAAGACATATTTCACTGAGAGATTAAAGGAGATATAAATCATTAGTGATAATGAATGTAAGTTCTGTTTATGCTTATGTGTCTGTATCGGAACATGACATCCCGAGATTTTGTTATTTAATGAAAATACATTTCTTCAAGAAAAGTTTGATAGATTCTTATCATATTTTGTTTTGGGAACAAATTCCGCAACTGTTTTCTTTAAAACGATTACTCTGATTTTTAAAACAAAGCATAAACAAATCGGTCTTTTCTGACCGTGAAATTGGGGATGTCACAGTGGCCTAGGTCACCACTTTTGGTTAATTTTTATTTATTATTTATTTTCATTTTGGTGCGCGATTCACATAAAAACTACCACCGATCGGGTGATCTTAGTGATGTATTAGCTTGTCGCAAAATACTTTGGAACCAGGTGGGTTTTGCCATGGTGTCCTCGCTAATCCATTGTTGATTATCTGGAAATGAGCATTTTTATGTTGTTAATCATAGTCACTAATATAATTAACAATGATATATTAGCTCTTATTGTAGTATTAATAAATTATGCTTATATATAAACAAATTATAATTTGGGATTATTTTTACTTTTCACACAATGCCTTCAAAGTAAACTGATCGACCTTGATACGATAAAGGTATTTTCATAAAGATACTTAAGTATCTTTACGATCCTCTCAAATATAACTATAAACAACAATGTAAATTCGTATGTGTGTATCGGTCTAGTCTATATATTCAGAAAGTTTTTTTATGCATTTTAAATGTTTTTAGAGAGAAAATGGATTTTTCTCTTTCACAGCTGTAAAACTCATTGGAGTTTTTGTTTAAGTAACTATTAACTTTAATGATATTCAACCACTTGGGTTGTGGTGACTTGGTAAGACATGTGGAAAATATGATGGATAACCTATTGACCCATGTTCAAATCCTGACATCACTCAGCCCTTGCCCTTGTGGTCATGGAGGTTCGCCTACAATGACTCCAAAGTACGAGGCAAAGCCTCATGTTTGCAGCGGGGGATTAGTCGGTGTGCAAAAGCTGGCCCGGAAACCTCCATTAGGGAAGTTCACTTGCCAAAAAACATTTCTCTTTATGTCCTATATTTATCAATCCTATATTTAACAATAAAAGAACATAACATAAAAAAATACACAAGGTTTTGCATAAAAAATAAAAGAGCATAACATAAAAATACACCTGATTAGTCGGTGTGCAAAACCTTGTATATTACTCTTTCCGTCCTATATTTAACAATAAAAGAACATAACATAAAAAAATACACAAGGTTCTTATGTTTATTACTTTTTCCGTCCTATATTTATCGTCCACTATTGACTCTGGAAGTCTTTATTCTTTAACTTTGACCTTAAATATTTTTCTTTTTGATATATAATACTTGATGCAAAATATATGAATGGATTGTGTTTTAAATTTCTTTTCACTGCTATAAGTTTCATCAACTAATTTATAACACAAATAAAAATATTTAAAGTTAAAATTGAAAAGTAAAGACTTCAAAAGTAAAAAATGGACAATAAACATGAGACGTAGAAAGTATCATAGAAAAATACATGACTAAACAGGTGTCATGTCAACTCGTGCACGTAAACAATTGAAATCTTTTATCTATACTCGTTTATTTCGTGTCAGGTTTATGTCCTATTAGCTTATAATGTTAGTTTTTTTTATCTAATTACAAATAAGTCGAAAGAAATGTATAAAATCATATATCATGTTGTAAATATATTTGTTTTTTTATATAGGAAACCTCTATAATAGGGACTACAAATTCACAGATCAAAAATGATTATTTGATTAATTATGTGATATTAATTGAAAGTTTGGCTATGTTAATATATTAGCCTTCGATCTAATCAATCTTTTTGGAATTTACTCAACATTCAAAGTATTCTTTTCCAAATTCACTCAAACTTGGGAGTTGGGAACATAAAACACCCGAACCTCTAACACAAACCAGCCTCCGCGGTTGGCCCATTTATAGAAAATAAAACACACGAACCAAAGAAAGGAAGTGAATGACACGCACCAATACTATTAAGATGAAGTGTTGTCGTCATCCACTCACATCCATTCATAAAAACGCGTAATATACACGCGCCATAGACTTGAATGAGATGTACCAGCTTTCAGATGATTGGTCCACGTCATGCTCACTCAGTGAAATCGAGCTTCAAAATCACAGGTCAGTTTTATCATTACGTTAATTCCCCAATTTGAAAATCACGGTATTCCTTCACCGAATTCCCTTGGATTCCGCTTCAAGTTGTTCTTGAAAATTTAATCGAGAAGAGAGGGTGGGAAGAAAGGAGAAAGAAAAGTATTGTTGAAGAAAGTCAAAATCAATCCACGAAGGTCATAGAGAAAGAGAGAAAGAGTGATCTCGTCGGTTCAATAGATCTCTTTCTCTCTTTGTTTTTCGTTTGAGATTTCTATTTCTTCCTCTTATTTGAATCGTTATGGGTATATGGGAAGTTTTTCTGAATTGGCTGCGAAGGTAATCTCTTGATTTGTCCATCGAATTCGCTTATATTTGGTTTAAATTTGAATGTGCGTGATTGTTTAAGGCAGAATTCTTCTAGGGTTTTCTGTTTGTTATCATTAGGTTGTTCTGATAGGGGTTGCAGGTTGTTTATTCTTAAGTTTATCTATGAAATTGTCAAAATTTTGGATCATCCGTCTCTATTTTGTTGCGAATTTTAGGTGATGCGATTGATTATGTTCATGGTTGTGAAATCAGTCTGTTAACTGAAGAATATCAATACAAGATTCTTTTAGCACTCACTGAGCTGTTCGATTATAGATATGACTCTAAAATAAGCATATAAAGATGATCTTTTGTGAAGGCTAATGTTTAGGAGCTTTCTTTCATGCTACAAAATGGTGTAAAATAAACCTAATCCTGAAATCATCATATGTTGTATACAGCCTATTTTTCAAGCAAGAAATGGAGCTTTCTCTAATTGGGCTCCAAAACGCTGGAAAAACTTCACTCGTTAATGTTGTAGCTGTAAGTCAATCAACCCACATTTAGTAATTCAGGTTTATCTTTTATTCATTTATCAAGAAATCATCTTCTAACAAGGTCAAAACTGTCTTTTCACTTTTCTTTCTCATAGACTGGTGGATACAGCGAGGACATGATCCCTACAGTGAGTTTTTCTTTTTCTTTTTCCTTCTAATTTTACACCGAATCCCTAAAACTGATTTCATCTTACTTTTTTTGGGGGATTTCAGGTGGGATTTAATATGAGAAAGGTAACAAAAGGGAATGTGACAATAAAGCTGTGGGATCTTGGAGGTCAACCTAGATTTCGCAGTATGTGGGAGAGATATTGTCGAGCAGTTTCTGCCATTGTGTATGCTACTTAACTTTTCAAGAAATCATTTTGACTTATGATTTTGTAAAAAAGCTTTCACCTTTTTCACATTTTCTTGATTTTTTTTATCATGGGTTGGATGCAGTTATGTTGTTGATGCTGCAGATCATGATAATTTAAGCATCTCAAAGGGTGAACTCCATGCTCTTTTGAGTAAACCTGCTTTGAGTGGCATTCCTTTGCTTGTTTTGGGCAACAAAATTGACAAGACTAGTGCTCTTTCTAAACAAGCTTTGACTGATCAAATGTAAGCCCACTTTTCATTTTTTTCACATCTGGAGGGCATTTATGTCTTTTGCATCGACAATATATCGTGAGCTAGTTCTAGTTCTTATTGTGACTTTTGACAGTCTGGTGTTAGTCGAATACATGACAAACATAGTACAACATGGCATGTCATATCATAGGATGAGAAGGGCATTTACGTCTTTTACTTACTAATACATACATTTAATTTTTTTTTTGTAGGGACTTGAAAAGTATAGGTGATAGAGAAGTATGTTGCTTTATGATCTCATGCAAGAACTCAACAAACATCGATCAAGTTATTGATTGGCTTGTGAAGCATTCAAAATCAAAAACTTAAACTCAATTAGAAAGATTTTGAGGATCACCATTTTTTGTGCTTGTTTTTGGGTTGAGTTTGCCAAACTTTAATGTGGAATAGAGGAATATTTGAGTGAATTATGTCATGCTTTTGTTAGAGGTGTGTTTGTATTCTATAATTTTTTAGTTATTTTTATTGATTTTAACAAAGTTTCGTTTTATCAATATGGTTATATTCTAAACACCTAATCTCCTATGTATTTATTATTTATTGTGTGACATAGCACAAATCATTGGTTCTAAGTATAATATTTGTTTTGGAAAAATTAGTTTATAAACAATGGGCAAATTTACTTTGTAATGCTTATAAAAGGCAACATAAATAAATTTGTATATCAAAATTAAAATTAGTAAAATACGAGATTGAATATATTAAAAACAACTTTGGTTTTAGTCTTATAGACTTCTAGCGTTGTTTTAAGAGCTCCAAGTGATATTTTGAAGCCTTGAGTCACCAATGAAGCATCCAAGTTTGGAGGTGGGATTTTATTATTCTAACCTCACTTTTACATAAACTTCGATAAATTGGGTTTACGCAAATGTGTGGATGCACATTAAATGTTACTTTGGAATGTTGTTGTACATGCTACAAGGATTACAAATTCGGAACTTGATTCAAATGCATGTTGTCGTTTTACGCTTTCTTAATTTGAAACAATAATTAATTGTTTGAAACAATGAACAGCCAAATAATGGTTTTGTGTGTGCTTTTAGAAGTCGAAGTATTTCAAATACAAAAAAAAGAAATGGCAATTGAGTATGGATAGACAAGTCTTGAAACATATTGCTATGTGTATGGAAATCTATTTCATATGTTCTTGTTACTATGCTTCTTGGTTACTCTATTTCGGTTTCCTGCAAATTGGGGGATTAGATTGTGGTGATATGATATACATGTAGTCATGTTACTTGTACTTGAAATATGTATCATATGTTTGGGTTATGAATGTAGGAAATATTTGCAAAACATACTATAAACACAACATATGAGAGACCTTTGTATCGGGTTAGATGTTGGGCGAGATGAAAAATTCTACTAGAAGTCTCGCCACAAAGGAATTGAGTGGATTTTTTCTTAATTTTGCACCTTTTTAGATTGTAAACATTATAATCAATGAATGTTATGTTTATTTATCTTAGGAAGACAGAAGTATTTTTATAAGATAATTTTGTTGAAATGTTTGTTATAAAAGAATTTATATTTTGTATAATTAATTTAGAGCAATGTGATGAAATTTAGTTTTAATTCAATATCTATCTATTATGAGATAAAATATAGTTTCTTTAATGGAAAATGTTGTAAAAAACTGTAAATTAAATGTAACTGATAACCTTGATGTATATTGTGCATTATAACCCATATTAGTATTATGGGCGATATATATATAACTATATACTTTGCATGATGTGTATGTATATACTTGATTTTTATATTTCATGTGTACTGTACTTGAGTTATGTATGCTTGGAGACACAAAATTGGTTGAGTCTAAAGTGTATGATTTGTGTTTTAGGCTTTTAACTAATTACACGAGCAACTATGAGACAAATTGGTTATATGGATATTTGTTTATGATAGATCATGTATGCTTCTATTATGATGTCAATAAGAACATGAATATTCCAATAAAACATTGATTTTGGGTTCTCTTCTAAAAAACTTATATTACTTAGATTGGTGCTCAAAAACCTCCCCCAAAACCTACAATAACAATAAGATTATACCAACTAGCCCATAACACTAAAATACCTTATAAATGATATTAAAAAAGTATGGATTTATAAATAAAAAGTCACTCCACAAATTTTAAAAAAGAAAGTACTTTTTATGATGTCAAATCTAATATGGTATGGAGTTTCTAAACAATATAATGCTCAATGTTGTTGGCTAGTAGCTTCAAGATATCCAAAATCCATGTTATTATTACGGCGGTTTTATAACTCTTAGGTGCTGTTTTTTCTGATGCAAAATGTCTGCAATCTGCGGACCACATCTGTAGACCTCTGCAGTAGAAGAGGTGGACCAAACGTCTGCAGTCTGAAAAAAGAAGACTGTTTGTTTTTTTAACATCTGCGGGCTACTAAAATAAACTGAAATCTAAATAAACTGATTTTTTTAAACTTCAAAGTGATTTTTTAATATTTTTATGACTTTGTTATAAATAATTAACGAATCTAGATCAACTTTTATGTATTATTGTATAAAAAATAAAAATAAAAATGGTATGAATTAACGTATATATTTGATAAAAACCAACAACCTTGGTTGTAAAGTTATAACTAAACATTATAATTAGTGATCAAAGAATTTGATACATAAATGAATGAAAATAAACTTTGATTTTTTTAATTAAATCTATTAAAAATGTACCATAAATATTTTCTCGAGAAATTGATGATATTGTATTAAATAATATTTTACAAAATTTGGCAAAAAAATATAAGAATATATTATGATTTTTTTTTTCATATTTATATAAACAACTTCAACGACTATTATTATAATAAATCTTTATTTATAAATTTGTCAAAAATATCATGTTTGTATCGTCGAACGTTTTTTTTAAAGTTTTTTAATTTTTTTTTCAAATTGTTTATCATTAATAAAGTTGGAAAAAATATTAATTAAAAAAACTTAAAAAAATAAAGATATATATGTTTTTTTAGGCTAGAAGATGTCTGGAGATGTTAGAAGACTCTGGTCCACATCTGCGCCAGGAAGAGGGCGCGCAGACATTTTTAGGTATGCAGTCTTCAAAAAAACAAACAGTCTGCGAAGGCTAATGTCTGTGTGTGGTCGGCGCGGCGCAGACAGAAGAGGCCACGCAGATCTGCCGACAAAAAACAAACACTACCTTAATAAACTAATTTAAATGTTTCAATAAGTTGTTTTATTAACTTAAAAAATAAATTATCAAGTTATCATGATTTTATAGCACTAATAAATTCACTTAAATATATAGATAAATTTTGTAATTAATTTAAAAATAATTTATCAATTTATTATATTTTTAAACTATATTTTTATACTTTTCTTAAAATTTCTTTAAAGAAGCAAATCCCAAACCCCTAAATCTATGAACACATTTGTGCGATGCATTGGGTTGTTGTACTATCTAAAACCCCGGCCTTATAGATTTTCCCATCTTCCTTGTTTACAGATGAGCTAAATTCTGCTCTCAAGTCTCAACAATGGAATCCTTAAGGTTAAGGTTGCCACCACGTCCACCCATCCCTTCTCAACAACCAGACACCGAACTCATCAAGCGCAATCTCCTCAAAAATGGCGTCACTCCAACCCCCAAAATCATCCACACCCTCCGGAAGAAACAGCTTCAAAAATCCAACCGCAGCCGCCCTCCTCCGCCCGACCAAACCCCAGAACAAGAACAAGAACAACAAGAAAAAGCCAATTTTCAGACCCTAAAGGCCGAATTCAAAACCTTCAACAGGGAAATCGTTAAAGCCACAAAAAGTAAACAAGACATGGACATAAAACACGGTGGAGTGTCATCGTCGCTGGTGGGGAAGCCATGGGAGAGGTTAGAGAGAACTCAATTGATGGAGTGTGCGATTACTAACAAGGAGTTTGTTGGTGGGGAGAATCTGAAGTACGAGCATTTGGATGAATTGAGCGAGTTTATCGAGAAGGAGCGTGATAAATTCAAATGGATTATGGAAGATGACATCGAATTGGAAGATGGAATGCTTCAGAATAAGAACGACAATTGGGTTCCTCCCAAGAGGAAAGTTTCCGATGGTGAAGCAATTCGGTTTCTTGTCGATAGGTATCCATCCATCCATGAGGTTTTTTATGTTTATAATTGTCTGCAAAACAGTAAAATTGGGGCTTTTTTGTTCGTTTTGTAGGCTTAGTGGAACAGAACCGAGTATGAAGAACTGGAAATTTTCTAAGATGATGAAACAATCGGAATTACAGTTCACAGAAGATCAATTGTTGAAGATTGTAGGTGGACTTGGTGATAAAGGTCAATGGAAGCATGCTTTATCTGTCGTAAAATACGTTTACAACTCTAAAGAGCATAAACATTTCAAGAGCAGGTTAATTTTTCTTCCAATTTAGTAATCTTTCTATCGTTTCTTCCCCATTTGAGCAATAAACATTCCATTATTCCATATATGAACAGTTCTGTTTTCTAATCAATAGGTTTGTATACACAAAACTCGTATCAGTTTTGGGAAAAGCAAGAAGACCCCATGAAGCCCTTCAAATCTTTAATTTCATGCTAGTAATGATCAAAATCACATCTCTTTTTTTATTATACACCAAATTTGTAATTTTCTTCTTCTTATGAAATGAAACAATCAATGTAGGCTGATTACCACTTATATCCTGATATGGCTGCATACCATTGTATTGCAATTGCACTTGGTCAATCTGGTCTTCTTAAAGAATTGGTCAACGTGATTGACTCCATGAAGCAAAATCCTTCAAAGTTTATCAAGAAAACAAAACGCAAAAACTGGGATCCTGTTCTTCAACCGGATTTAGTCGTATACAATGCTGTAAGTTAGATTTCTAAAAGATTTATAGTTTAGCTTCATGGGGTTTTGTTATTTATTTCAAAATAATGTTTTTAAACTTTTTTGTTAGGTGTTAAATGCTTGTACTTTATCTGGTGAATGGAAGGGAGTTTCATGGGTGTTTGAGGAGTTGAGAAAAAGTGGTTTAAAACCATCTGGAGCAACTTATGGACTTGCAATGGAGGTATCCTTACAAGGGCAAATTTGTAAAAAGCCTCATTTCCCACACTTTCGTATATAGATTAAGTAAAAAAGAAGCAAATACCTAATTACAATAAAAAAAATATAGGTGATGTTGGCATCTGGAAAGTATGACCTTGTGCATGAGTACTTTGAGAAGATGAAGAAAAGTGGAAATGCTCCAAAAGCCCTTACTTATAAAGGTACCGATTTTCCTTTCAAATGTATCATGATTTCACATATATTTGATGTAATAAATTGTGAAAAGGTAATTTCAATATCTTTGAAAGTATGTGATTGAAGTGTACAATGAATTTAAACACTTTTTTTTATTGTGCAAATGTTTAGTGCTTGTGAAGGCGTTCTCAAAAGAAGGAAAAGTGAATGAAGCCATAGAAGCAGTTAGAGATATGGAACAAAAAGGTGTTGTTGGAGAAGCATCCGTATATTGTGAGTTAGCATTCTCCCTTTGCTATAATGGATTGTGGCAAGAAGCTATTTTAGAGGTACTTTTTAACTTTGACTTAGTTGACTCAATGAGATTAATGAGTTAAGCATTTAATTTGGATAGTTATATATGGTTTGTTTCTTTTTTTACTTACTCTTGACATAATGACATTGTGAATTTATTAGTTTTGAAAAGTAAGGACAAAATGGTCATTTAGTCTCATCTAGATGGTTTGAAAGTTGAAACAACCCCTTAATCTTTTTGGCTTAATGTAGAAAGAACAACTTAATAAAGAAAGTCAAGAAAATGCGATTCTCCCATAAAGTCCAAGCTTTTTACAAATTTACCCTCATCTATCATTTTTATTCTTGTAGATCAAGAGAATGAAAAGACTTCGACTCACTAGACCATTGGTGGTTACCTTCACGGGGATGATATTGTCTTCAATGGACGGAGGGCATATTGGTAATTGTATAAGGATATTTGAAACAAGTAAAGAGCATTGTGCACCCGATATTGGGATTATAAATGCGATGTTGAAAGTTTATGGGAGAAATGATATGTTTTTTGAAGCAAAAGAATTATTTGAAGATACAAAACGATCCAACGGTCATAATATAAGCTTAGGGCGTGATGGTCCTTTTGTTAGCCCGGATGCGTATACGTATGGTGAGATGCTTAGAGTCTCTGCAAGTGCTCATCAATGGGAGTATTTTGATTATATTTATAAGGAAATGGTTTTTTCGGGGTATCAAATTGATCAAAATAAACATGCGTTTTTGCTTGTTGAAGCCTCTAGGGCTGGAAAGGTACGTTTTATTATTATTATTATTAGTAAGGTTGACTTATGTGGTCAACCTTACTAATAGCAATATGTAACATGAAACTCGTAATCATTTTACAAGTTTCATGTTACATATTGCATTTATAAGTTTTATTTTGATTATATTAGTAAGGTTGACTTTTGTAGTCAACCTTACTAATAGCAATATGTAACGTGAAACTCGTAAGCGTTTTACAAGTTTCATGTTACATATTACATTTGTAAGTTTTATTTTGATTATATTAGTAAGGTTGACTTTTATAGTCAACCTTACTAATAGCAATATGTAACGAGAAACTCGTAAGCGTTTTACAAGTTTCATGTTACATATTGCATGTTACAAGAGTAACATAATGTTATGATTTCTCGTGGGAAATCCATATTTTACCAAAAAATAATAATAATAATAAAAATTTTATGTTTATTTGCAGACTCATTTACTAGAGCATGCTTTTGATGTGCTGTTGGAATCGGGAGAAATCCCGCCATCATCATTCTTTGTTGAAATCATATGTCGATCCATGATCCAAGATGACTTTGACCGGGCGTTGACCATTCTCAACACCATGGCCCACGCCCCGTTCCACGTGCGTGAAAAGGAATGGCGGGGCCTATTTGAGGAGTACAAAGGTAAAATCACTCGGTCCCACTTACGAAAACTTTTTGAAAAAATCGGGACTCATGATATCACAATGGAAGCTTCCGCATATAAGTTATCAAGACTATTGCAATCGCTCTGTGGGCCAAAGTCAAAGTCAAAGTCAAATGATGGGGGTGAGATTGAACGTGAATTACCGGGGAAATTAGATAGTATAATGGAACATTTTGCGGATGAGTTGACTATTGATGAATCGGTTGACTGTTTTGGTGATGAAAAGTCAAAGTTGACCGATTATGACGAGGAGGTGGATGATGATGATGGGTATGATTCGGAAGAGTTTTTGGTGGGTGAATTGGGGGAAGTGGATGAATCGAAGGAAGTAAGTTGCCTTCTGCGGATGGGATTTTGGAGAATTGGAAGGAAAGTATGATAAAAGATGGAGTTTTTTTGCCTTTTAAAATCGGGATGAAGTGATTTTGGATGTGATATAGAAGCAAGGAAATGAGAGTTTTAGTTAAATTTGTGTAAAAGTGTGTTTGTATAATTTATAAATGCTTTTATATACGGCTAATAATCTAGTTTTCAAACGCTTTAATTTAGGCGAATTTGTGTATGAATAATAACTAGTCACAAATTTATTTTAGAGTTTTCATTATAAGATAACAAGATGATTAGAAATCCTCGCATTTTTTTCAACTCAATTGCTCTTTTGAATTTGGGATTTTCTTTTCAATATATTTGTTACATCTCCATTATGGAATGGATGATGATAACATATAAGATTCAAAGAAAAATCAACACACCCTTCATGTATTGGGGATTAATATCTTTTTTCAAGTCTTATTAATAATTTAAACTAAGAACAAATGCTCGTTGTTTTTCTCCTTTCCATATAATCAAAATTAAATTAATTAAAAGTCGTAGAGGCTCTTCATGTATCAATTAAACCCAACTTAAACCCTTTTTATAAGTACACCACCCAATAGCCAACAACAAAAATTTATAAACCAAAGTACAAATTACATATCTTGATACTACTTCCATGTATCATAAGAAAATATATATAAAAAAATCTCACATCTTGAATTAATCATCAGAATCAAAATTTTCATCATCTTTCATGTACTTCTCTTGCACTGCTGCTGTTGTGAAATTAACGTCAAGGACACCATTGACATAGCAATGTATTTTAAAAAATCTACTCAATTATAGAAATTATACACAAATATATTAAAAAAAAAACAAATGAAATTTATTAAAAGGATATCTATAGTATTCCCAATCTGTTGGAGCAATAGCAATTTTGCTGAATTCAACTGCAGTAGCATCAATCCCTTGAAATATATAACCATTTGTTTTGTCTATTAATTTCACAAGATTTGTAACACTTTCTTTATCCTGAAAAAAAAGTCAAAAAAACTACTCAAAATAAATAAAATATACGTAGTAGATTGTAGCTGAATTATTAAATAAATAAATAAATTGGGACAAATCAACATACCTGAATAGCCAAAGTAGTGAAATTGACCAATCCAAAGTCTTCAATCACTTCACACAGTTCCTTTGTAAGTTTTCTAACACCATAAATAAGGATTCATTAGAAAATTCATGTTGCTGAGTTGGCGCTGACGTGGCACTAAGTGAAAAAGCTTACCTATACTTAGAAGAGCGGGGATCTTGATCCACATGATGTTGTAAATAAGATAAATCTTGAACATCCATGTAAAAATCAAGATTGAAGGCTACATAACAAACAAAGCAATAAATTTTTTTTATGGTTTAATCACTACAAAATATAATGACCAAAACGCCCCCACAACCGTGGAGGATGGAAAAGCACAAGTGTCCCAAGAGCAAGGAAGTCGATGCAGGGGCAATTTTGGTATAAAGTAATGAAAAAGATTTTCATACCTAGTTTTCCATAGTTCTCAATAAGATCAATCTTTGATAAAACATTGACATGTGGCAATTCCATATGCAACATTGTTGATAGTGAGAGAAGCAATGCACTCACGTATTTCCCAGGGTCACTGCATAGGTGGGCATCTATTAAGTGGACAGCTGTCAACTGTAGAAGAAAGTCATCTAATACTGTTAATAAGTGTGTGTGTGTGTGTGTTTACAAAAGAAACTTGAAAAAGGCATCACTAATTACCCGAAGATCAAGTTTTTTGATAAGTTGCATGATGACTTTTTTTGCATTTGAGTGAAGGAAGAATAGTTCTACTTGACCAGGGAAATCAAAGAGAAAATAGTGATCTGTAAATAAATGTAAAGTTAAATCAAAGGAACAAAGTTAACTTAAAAGTTAAAAGTTAAAAGTTAAAACCACTCATTAGCTATACATAAAAGCCTTTCAATGAATACTAACCTTTCAGAAGTGGCTTCAATTTAGATTCCAACCAATCGATATTTTTCTCCAAGTAATCCATACAATAAACAAGACCTAGTTGAGAACAACAAAAAGATCAAATAGAAATAGTATTAAATATTAATCACACATGAAAAATGAAAAGTTTATTTTTGACTTAATGGGCTTATTGGGGACATGACTTAATCAAGTAAACTACAAAAGATGTCTAACCTCCATTAGGACCAAGATTGTGCTCATTCATCACATCACTGAGTTTTATAAGATCTTCAATGTTGATTGCACAATCATATCTTGATATAAATGTTAAAGAAATATGAATTCCCAGTTGCCAAAAAGAATAAAAATAGCGAAATTTGCAGTAATCTAAGCTTATAGAGGATACGGCAATGAATCATTTGCAGGGTCTAAGTTAATAATAGCGACTTTCCTGCAACAAGTATAAATGTCATCAACATGATATATATTCAGAATCCAGGCTCGAAATTGAAAAACAGCTGCACATTGATTTTTAGGGAAGTGAGAAGTAACAAGGATGAATTTAAGATGAATACAGATATTACCTCCCGATGAGTTGAAGGTACTGCGACATGCCATTGCAGTAAGTGGTCTTGCCGGAGCCCGGAGGACCGATAACCACCTGACCAAACACCATCCTTTACCCCTTTCCGCACAACCCTAAATTTTAAGAATTGTGTGAGAAAAACGAAGATTCTTAGGGGAAAATGCAAGAAAATTCTTTGGAGAAAAACTAGGGTATGTGTATGGGTACTCCAAGCAAAAGTAGATAATCAGTAGGGTGGTCGCCGGCAATAAGGCCTCTGAAAGAACAGTCGTCGGGAAGTCGTAACTCGTAAAGCAGGCAAGCAGCGGCTGTTTTGTTCTGCTTCTCCAGCCGTGATACTAGAAAGTTCTTTTCCATACAACCCGACCCGATGCCCATACAAATTCATATTCATTTTGTTTAACTTTATGTTTTACAATTGATTTTTTAGGTTAATGACACTTAGCTTTTGATTTTTTGGTCGTTAAACTTTTTTTTTAATTATGAAGACATAATGTGGGTTATAAGTTATAACCTACTTATTGGTCTCTATGACATGAAATAACTTGTTTACAATGTCAATATTAATATAAATGTTATGGTTGCTGTAAAAACATCATAGACAACTTATATTTTACTTTAAAATATAACATAATTTGGTTTTCATAATTCAAACTCGCTGATTCTTAAATTGATTGAGTTGATTAGTTGTTTTCATTTAATTAATATATACACAGTCCTACTAAAAGCATCCAAGGTATGAGTTTTTTTAGGACCTTATCATGAAAAAGAAGCTATTATAACTCAAAAGAAGTTATCGTGTTTAATCCGAAGTTTTTTTTTTTTAAATAGTTTGTAAAGTTACAAACACTTAGGATAGAAAGAGTTACGAAAGATGGCACGAAAGGTGGTTGTGGTACCCCAGTTACCTCCAAGATCACCATCAATTTACGTGAAACATGTCAAAAGATGAGGGTTAGGAAATATGGTGATCTTGTTGAACACACCGCCCTCTTTCTTTCTCAAGTTGCAATACACTTCACTAGTTGTAAATTAGGAGTGGATTGGAAAAGTTGAATTACTTTGTAGAAAATAGCAAAAAAAACTCAAATTACAAAAATAGTCATCAAAATCGCAGGTGGACTTAGTCCATCTGTGGTTTTACTTGTCCATCTGCGAACGTACAAGTTGCTAAAGCACATCTGTGCTTTAGCGACTTGTACGTTCGCAGATGGAGATTTTGCGTCCATTTGTGATTTCTCTTTTTTCAGGGGTATAAGAACGTAAATTTTTTTTCTTCTTTCATTTTTCAAACTTTTTTTGGAGAACTTTCTCCCTAGAGGCACTATAGACGATTTCATTTTTCAAATATTTTTCAAAGTTTTTGTTGAATAATTCATTTTATTAGAGATGTTTTAAACAAATATTCCAAAGAAATAAGAATTAAATTGATAATTTTTTGAAAAGCTTTATATATAATAAGGTTGTTTCGTAGTTAAACATTATCAATTTTGTAGTCAAAATAAAAAAAAATAAAAAAAATACAAAATCGCAGGTGGGATGAGAGGAAATCACAGATGAACATAGTTCATCTGCGATTCCAGTCAAAGATTGGAGTATTTATATGGAAAAAATCAAAAAAACTATAAAAAAACCACCTGCGAATGTACAAGTCGCTAAAGCACGACTGTGTTTTAGCGACTTGTACGTTCGCAGATGGAATGCTAAAATCGCGGATGGGTTTAATCCATCTGCGATTTTTCATGGCTATATTTGTAATTTGGGTTTTTTGGTTTTTTTCCGCAAAGTTATTAAAGAATTTGGTTATATTTGCATTTTTCTCTTATAAAAACGAAAAGTAAAAAAATTGTTCCCAAAATTGTTCCCATTAAAACTTTACACCACATCTCACACTAACTGAAAGTAGAGGGACTCAAAGCGCAAATAAGTCTAAAATGTGAGATCAAATACCTATCGAAATGACAAAATCACCCCCTTCTCGTCTTAATTCACTCCACCAGACACAACTATGGAACCCTAAACCCCCAAATCTGAAACCCCAGCCAAAATGATTGCCAGAACTGCTCCTAAATCGCTAACCAGATTCTTCTCGCTTTCACGCCACCTTTGCACGGCCACCGGAACTCAATCACAGAAGCTCGAAAGAATCGCCGACGAGATCCTCAGCCTTACAAAACTCGAGAGGAATGATTACGCAGTCCTCCTACGTTACAAGATGGGTTACAATAACTACGGCCCGGCGGTGACCGGCATTGGTTCGCCATCATCCGCCGGCGCTGCCTCTGCCGGACCAGGATCCGATGCCAAAGCCGCCGAGAAGGTTGTTTTTGATGTGAAGTTAGAGAAATATGATGCAGCTTCGAAGATCAAAATCATTAAGGAAGTTAGGTCTTTTACTGATTTAGGATTGAAAGAAGCGAAAGATTTGGTGGAAAAAGTACCAGTGGTGGTGAAGAAAGGAATCACCAAGGACGACGCTGAAGCAATCATGGCGAAGCTCAAGGATTTGGGCGCTACTGTGGTATTGGAATAAACTTGATCTCTTTTTAGTTCTTCATTATCATTTTTGAATAACTCTTGAAGCTCTTTTGAGTAGTTGCAAACGATTTTTCTAATTCGATTGTTGATTTCCTCAGTTTTCAATGTGTTTTAGATCAAAGTATTATATAGCCACACATTTTAGAATGAAAATTCCATTGTAATTCATTGGGAGAAATGTTGCACTTGATGTTCTTTGTTAGTTTCAACTTGATGTTCTTTGTTAGTTTCAACTTAATGTTCATTGATTTGAGGTAAACATGTACCCAATTTGTATAACTTTTTATTTATTATATACACTTTCATAATAACAAAAGAATTATCTTACAATGTTTTTTTAAAATAAATATAAATATGATATTACATATAAAATCGTTAGAGTGGGTCAAAGATAATGCTAGAAATTTGTATCGAGTGGCATGTTGGGATGGGGTCATTGAGAGATTCAAGAAGAAACTCTAATTCGAAAGTAAAGATGTTTTCCATCAAGGGGAGTACTACTTTGTTGAAATCGGTTTTGGATAGCTTGAGCAATTTTATAGGTCAAATTTTAAAGTCTAGGAAGAATTAGTGCAAAAGTTTGAGGTCTCCTTTCTTTTGGTGAGTTGAAGAAGGTCAATATGAAATTCTTTGGATTAAATGGAGTAAGGTGTTTGCTTCTAAAGAGAGAGGTGGAACTCGCATTGGGAGTTTTTGATCCGGCCTTGTTACTTAAGTGGAGGTGGCGGTTTGTTGTTGATTCAAGCTCTTTGTAGGCTACTATATGGTGTTGGAGGTTGGTTTGGGTTGAATGGTCATGAGGCAAATACGCATGGGGTTGGCCCATAATTGTTGGTTTGATAAATCAATTACACGATAAAGACATTGTGCCTCATAATGGTCTTGTTTAGTTCACTTGCTCATTCGTGCCTCGTATTAATTAATTAAGTGGGTTTTGGATATAGATAAAGATGATATTTAAAACCGGAACCGTTAGAACCAGAATATGTAGAATCGGAATCTAAGTTATTCTATACATTGATTATAAAGTGACTTACGAGTTTAAAGAATGATTTTATCCGGCTCTGGGTCATTCGAGTCTGGGTAAACCGGGTTTAAGAACCAGAATCGGTGTTAAGAACAAAAAAACTGTGAAAAGTTTGAAACATGCATATCTCGTTCGTTTGAACTCAGATTGGAATGTTGTTTTTTCCACTGTGTAGCTTAGAGTAAAATTGGTTCTGGAAAACTGTTTTCATTTTTCAAGAAAACGTTTTTAGAAAATAGAATTGAGTTTTCATATTTAATTTTCAATGAAAAATTTATTTTCCATTTTATAAAGTTGGAAAACTTTGGAAAACTATAAAAACCACTTTCCTAATTTACATAAATTTGAAAAACAGGAAATTTTCATTTTCTTGGAAATCTTTTGAAAACTGAATCAACTAAGCGCGTTTTCAAAATTTTCATTTTCATTTGAAATTTTTCAAGAAATTGGAAAATTTTCCACAATCTAACACAACCTTAGAGTTTGTATATGACTTTAAACTATAATTTTTTCATTTTCAGTTTCATATTCATTAACTTACAATACCTAAAGTCAGGATATCAAAGCTGGAAATTTTATGTTCTCCAACTTTTTCTGTTATTCTATGAAAATTTTAAAAATATATATCTAATTCGTTTGAAGTCGAATTAGCATGCAGTTTTCAACGTGTAGTTAGAGTTTGTATATGATTTTAGACTATAATTATGTCAAATTTTGTTTCATATTCATTGACTTACAGTCCCCCAAAGTCGGGATATCAAAACTGAAATTATGTAAAAATTTTAAAACATGCATATCTAATTCGTTTTAAGTTTGATTAGCATACAATTTTTTCCAACGTGTAGTTTAGAGTTTGTATATGATTTTAGACTATAATTTTGTTAATTTTGGTTTAATATTCAATGATTTATAATCCCCTGAAGTAGGGATATCAAATATGGAAATTTTCAAATTTCAACCCACTAAGTGATTACCAAAATATTTTGGTTTTCCCGAGTTTTTGGGTTTTCAGTACTAGACCCACATTACTAGGTTCCACCTGACCCACTTTGACATTGTCACACCCCCGAACCAGACGGCGGAAACGTCCGAGGGCTCGTGTGACTATCAATTGAAATATCATCACAATGAATATACATGAAACATAACACATTCATCACTAAACATTACATATTACAGCTGGTATTGTTCACATCACGTACATTGTCATATGTTACATAAATCCAAATCCAAAGTATTAATAGTACGATGAGTGACGTTACACAAAATAAATCCATACACACTTGACAGTCCTTCTGCTTAACGATTACCTGAGAATACAAGTTATTTTGAAAACGGTCAACATATATAATGTTGGTGAGTAATAAGCATATTTGAATAAAAGTCTTTGTATTGTTTGTAAAACCCAGAAAATCCGATATTTTCTGTAAAACGTCTGAAAAATGATGTGAAAATCGAGTATAATGCATGTGTGAATTTCATAGTAGTAACATATAGGAATGCAGTTCAAATTTTCTTTGTATTCTTTCTGTTGTAAGTAAGTGGTATTTGAATAATAGTATTTCCCTAGAAAATCCGATATTTTCTGATTTATAAAAATGTCACGGTCTTTGCACTGTAAAATGTTTTGTATCATTATGACTTACGAGTTTTTAATCTTCCGTAATGTTTTGTATCATTATAAAAATGGCATTTTTCCACATGCCGGATTTTCAATCAAGGTTTTGTCACCCTAGACTGACCTAGTCTAACTGTAGCGAACAGCTCAGGTGTGGGGGAGTCACCCCCGTATAGATCTATACACAAACTCTCGCTCTCCCTCCAGGAGACTCTGATTATAACTACAAGCTACGACCATACACTCAATGATGTCAACCGACACGTCTCACTAGATCCCATTTGTTTTCACATGAATTTGTATAATGTTATATGTATTTAGAAGTTCGAACACTAGATGATGCATGAAATGAAAAGGTAAGGCCCAACAAACATGAAGAAAAGGCAACTGTAGCCCATTAGACGTGTAAGTTATTTCCAGGCTAAATTAGCATGTAAATGGGCCATTAAGGCCCAATAACATGTAAACGCTAAATTAGGCCCATTTAGCATGTAATTAGGTAACTGAAGCCCAATAGACATGTGATGAATACATTGGGCCCAATAAACATGTAAATGGATCACGAAGGCCCAATAAACATGTATAGGAAGTATTAGGCCCAATATTCGTACCGTTATTGTATTTCGTTTATTTGTTATAGTATTGTTCACTTCGTCGGAGAATTTATCCATAACGTTATAAAAATCTAGTATTTTGTTATAACGGTATTTTTAGTTTGTTACGTCAAAATTCTATAATTTGAACTCGTGTTTACAAAATTACACTTTACGCCCCTTAAGAACTAAATTAACATTTAGAGGCTTATTTTTACATAAAATGTCATTTTTGGTCTATTTTAATTAAAAATAACATTTTAGTCCATAAATTTATAAAAATTTGTATTTTCGCCCCAAATGTTTAGTAATTTACGGTTTTGGTCAAAAAATACATATTTTGACATTTTCGGCCCATCTTTGCAGAAAATTACATTTTCAGCCCCCTTATTTGCATAAAATGACATTTTCGGCCCAATTTTTATAAAATTAACATTTTTGGTCCAAATCTTGAGATAGTGTCATTTTCAACCCCTAATCTCGTTTATTCTCATTTTTTGCTCAAGTTTTGATTAAATGACATTTTAATCCCCAAAAATTGATATTTTTGCAATTTGGGCCCAATAGGCCGTGAGGCCCACCTTAAGGCCCAAAATGCCAAATTTTACACTTTTGACCCTTAGAAAAATATGGTTGTTATAAAAACTCATTTTTAAGCTAATAATACCCTTTTAGCCCCTATAAAACCGTAGGTGTCATACTTGACCCCAAACTTTTGTTTATTTGCCAAAAATGATCCTTATACAAGATTTTGTTTAGTTTTTCACAACTTAGGCATCTATAACACTTTTAACTTTGTATTAGGATGTCTAGAGTGTTTTTGGTTTATGAATCTCACATATTTTTGTTGAAGTTTCATGGATCCATCGAGTTTATCACACAATCACAACATAACCCAAGAAAATCACACATAACATGCATATATACATAGATCTACACATAAACACTTGTATTCTCCCCCAAAACAAGTAAAAACCGAAAACAAGGGGGCATGAACTCACCTTTGCTTTGATGTTTCGGTTTGAAGAAGAAATGGAAGAAGATGATGTGATTTTTGGCTCTAGCAAGCTTTTTGAGTGGTTTTCGAACTTAAATGGTTTCTAGGATGTTAGATCACGAAATGAAACTTTATAAGGGAGTGTACTTAGCTTAAGGATAAGACTTAAGTATGACAACAACTTACCAAAGATGATGATCTAGATGAAAACCTCTTTGAAGATACACATAAAATCTCGAAATTTGAAGGAAGATGTAGGGGTTCTTGAGAGCTTTCCTTAAGAGATTTTGTAAGTAAAATGAGTGTGGTGGTGATTTTTGGCTCTATGGCCGAGATTAAGAAGGAGAGAGGGAAGGAAAGTTTTGCCTGGAAGGTAATACACTTCTTGATAGATGTGCTCATCTAGATATATGCTATGTGTGACAACCCGAAACTTCTACCTGGTACATCTAGTCAGTTAATCTAAGTTAAACTCGTTTCTGTTAACTTCTAGCACGGTTTAAGGGTCCATTTAAGTGTTCTAAGCTTGGGTTCAGTCGGGGTTGAGGTTAGGAATGAGTCAGCAAGTCGTATAGCGTCGAAACCGGACCATACAGCCCTCTTGGAGGAGTGTGCGGCCGCACACATGGGTGTTCGGCTGTACACACCCCTCATGACCACACACCCACCCTATATAAAGGGTAGACCCTTTCCTTTCATTCCTTTAACATACTGGAAACACACAACACCTTTTCTCTCAAGACTCTTCAACCGCAAACCC